TATGATTCACCTATGGGACATACAGGTTGGTGAAACAATTTTTTGAAGTTGAGACATATACTCCAAAGTAGGCAAGTTGTAGCTGTGGGTGAGTGTAGTTTTGACTCTATAAGTTCTTTTACAAATCCAACGGAGACTTTTATTACACAGATCAATCTTGCTCGACAATTTTATAAGCCAATTATTCTCCACTCTCGCGGTAGTAGTCCTGATTTTCTTCAAGTGCTACGTGCACATGATACTCCACATAACGCTGTCAAAGTGCAATGGCACTGTTGCACTGCAGAAAGCGTACCGGCGGTTCGAGAGCTTTTAAGTACCTTTTCTGAGGGTATCATTAGCGCTGGAAGTTTTGCCTGCCGTCGGGATGCTTTTTCACTTCAACCACTATTGCATGAATTATTCATAACCTATAGAATCATCGGTAACCTATAGAGATAGTGTTTAGAAAAAGGTTATTCTTCCCTGAGACTCTAGTGCATTCTAAGCAGAACTAGATCTGTTCTTTCTTTCTCGTTTATTGGCAAATAAAATTTCGAAGAAATTATTCCAGCATATTTTCTTGAGTACGTGTACCAAATTCAGAATCGATATGTGTATATGCGAAAGAGGTAGGAAGGCGATGCCTTCTGTTCAGCTGTCGGTTTCTTGGGTGCTGAAAATTTTGTTGCATCGTCAGGCAACAAAATGCCACATTGATAGCAAAAACATCGTTGATGTGGTGCATCATTGACAATATACCCATATTTACCCGTGAAAACATCCACCAGAAATGTTGGTTTGTGAACTTTGAGACCAGTTGCAACAACGTCGAAAAAGTTGTTCTGACGGTGGCTGTTGGGACAATGCTCACATTTTCTCTTGATCATGTACGGTGTCGAGAAACAACCTTTGGGTGTTTCAAGTAACTCTTCAATTTTATTCATATCTTCGGCCGATGTTTCAACCATGATGTAGCCAACATCGGAATTTTTGTCAAAAATTCTTTCACGTGTTCATACCATTGATTTTCGGGTAGCACTTTTGGAAACATTTGCTTTGCAATGATATCAGCTGGAATTGTAGCGATATCAACAGCTCTTTTCAATACTTCGACCGCAGCAGTGGCCATGATTTGATTTGATTGACCCTTCGATTAGAATAACAATATTTGTAACTTGTTCGAGTATGCGTATAGAACCATGAAAATGAAGAGAAAGAGTCGCTCTTTTTATAGTGTAATATTTGCGTAAGATTTATTTTAAATGCTCAAGGCTTTGCCACGTGTGCTATTGGGATCTCGTCAACTACTCAGGAAGTACCCTGCTTACCTGATGTGTCATATAAGCACATGGTCCTTAAATAAAAACTCAAGTGCGCCATATGACTCAGTTAATCCTTCTTACTTGGTCCTGCTCTTTTTAGAAGAAAAAGGGTCTGCAATCGTTCTCAGAACAGAAAAAGTAGGACGTCATAAGAATATTCTCTTTCTTCTTATCTTTGTCTTCTCTCTTCTGTTTCTCATTGTATCACGTTATCATCATTCCTTCTTTTCTTCTAGTATTTGTATGTGGTATTCCACTTGACACTATCTGCAAAGTTAAAGAATTTCACTTAAAGAAGTAGGGCGGAAATTCCGGGACAAAAAGTTCGTGGACCGAAATTCAGGCCTCTCGTGAACCTCTCTGTAGTGTAAATATTGAGGAGAACTATCCCTCTCTGATTTTATGATAGTTTCACGTACCCACGCTGTACTCTGTACCGAGCTATATTTTAGAAAAAGATACTTTTTCAGATAAATGTTATGTGTGAAATAAGGAAGAATGAGCAAATCAACCAACAAATGGAGCACACAACATGGATATACGACAATTCTTCTGTTAAACTCAATGTAAGAGAAGAAATGCTATTTTCATCGAATATCCAGTTTAGTCAGTATACGTTCAAATTTTCCTTGTTAGGATATGGTTCAAGATATTCTAAAGCAAATAGGACATAATTAGTCTTCTATCTAATTGATACATTTTGGCAGGCTTGTAAATGGTTTAGAGCCTTATTATTCAGCCGGGTTTCTACGAAAACTTTTGAATTTGGTTGATTCCTTAGTTTCTTGCATGTGCGTATAGAGATTTTGACTGAAATGTCTCATATATGTCTCAACTTCAAAAAATTGTTTCACCAACCTGTATATCCCATAGGTGAATCATACATATATTTTGGGTGTATTCCGTATGCTTCATACAACTAAACACGCCCTCCCAGGGACAGTTCAGAGTAGAATTTCATAATCAAGTATGGTGCATGTTAGTTATCCCCAAAAATTGATGTATCACAATTGTTCGATCACAACCCACCAAGAACTGAAGCTAACAGTCTGTCATGAGAAATGAGAGTCCTTCAAATGATGTCTTGGACAGTTAAAAACAAAACAATTGCTTCCTGCTACAGTCGAATATAAACCGTGTACAAATTTTATTTCGGTAGAGTACAAGTATACAAGATTGTTGATAAGCTCTTAATCAGTTTCGCATAAGCCTGTCAAAATGTATCAGCTAGATAGAAGACTAACTGAGCGTTTCAGAATATATTCGGATCGGTCGTTACTCCGATCGTTAGGGCGGTATAAATACGATATGACATAATTTAGCACTATTTTATACATAACTGTCTTGTTTTCTAATTGCATAAACATATAACTACTTCTGTGTGTATGGAGAACCTTACTTCTCTTTATGGAAAAGACCAAACTTTCTATTTTAATCTATATATTAATTTATTATATGTCCATATAAAATTCATTCTGGCGTGTTAAGGTGTATGAAGCTTACGGAATACACCCAAAATATATGTATGATTCACCTATGGGACATACAGGTTGGTGAAACAATTTTTTGAAGTTGAGACATATACTCCAAAGTAGGCAAGTTGTAGCTGTGGGTGAGTGTAGTTTTGACTCTATAAGTCCTTTTACGTACAGTAAACCTAGGATAGAGAGGAAATAAAGGCAAATACACACATCTATGAATATATATAACGTATTTGTTACTTATAACTGCATATGCATCTATATAAATGAAACATGAGATGTAAGGAAACTTCTGATTTACCGCAGAACTTTTGAAGGAGGCAGAATAACGCAGATGTCAGGCTTTCCACTTAAAACTGCTTTAGCTGATGTTTCTCATACAACAACAGATCTTCCATCTGTTGAGTAAGTACTATATTATAACCTTATAATTTCAAAAATCAGTTCTGTCGACCTTTTGCTTTGATCACTCACGAGGGGACCTATCCAACTGTCGGACGCCGTTTGACTCCATATTTTGGCTATAAGTAGGACTCAGTGAGATTAAGAAAATCCTAAAAGCGTTCTGGCCCGTGACTCTTGAAGACCCCGTTTTCTGGAAAACCAGTTTTTCAAGAACTCTAAAAGATAACTAAACCCTTCTTTTAATGAGATATAATTGTAGCCCGCAAATTTCTG